TCAAGCCACAAACGGCGTAATCAGAATGCAAGCGAAACGTCAAAGCCAAGGTGTCCTAATCCAGGAAGAATGAACTCGTATCCCAGCCAAGAAGATAGGAGGTCAATGCCTAATCGAATTGGGTCCAGGGGCTCTCCTTGTTTGGGCCCAGTTCCGCTGGGTCCCAAGGGTCCCACGTAGGTCTCAACCAAGTCCCAACCAAGAAGAGTCCCACCTGAACTTAGTTCAATCTCAACTGCACTGAAAAACGAAATTTCAACTTCTGGCAGAACCTACAGACTACAACCGTTCAGTGATGAAAAGACAAAGCACTGTAGAAAGACTCAGCATGTATAACAAGATACTTCATTTTCCATCCATCAGGTAAGTAGGTAGATCACATGCATCCAGTCACACAATCAAGACCACAGAGGAGTAGGAAAAGAAACCCAGAGTACCCCAGCAGGACAATCAATACCATACACACATACATGGGCATCCCGTAGGTGCACGRCACTTACCTGAGTGGCCTTGAGCTTCGAGATGAAGAGAACTCACCCCCTTCTCATATGGTCCTCCTGACCCATCTAACGCTACCCCTACACTAGTGTCCTATCTCCTTGGAGGGTCTGACTCCAACACCCAAGTGCAAGGCCGGATCTCCCATCGATGCTGAAGAACAAAGTAGCAACTTGCAGTCYGTTGATGCAGAATGGCCGCTGACCCTCAAGCTCGCCTAGTTGAGGGCAGCCCTTAAGTTGCCAAGTGTCTCCCTTGAATCAGATTCCAGGTGCGAGTGCCTCTCACTGTCGCCTCTCTCAAATCGCCGCATGAAGTCTCCTCGAAATGTCTCGCCACCCCAATCTTACTCTCAAGCAACCTGGTTAAGGTCTATGTTGACCCCACATGACCTAGCCAGGTGGGGGCAGCTTCCCTTAGCCACGCTGCCCCACTTCCCTTTACCATCCAACCCTAACCACTTAGGTTAGGGCTAGGGTAGCAAAGTCAACTCTCACCAGCAAGTAGAATCCGCTCCGATACCAACGTTATGACCCTGGCCAATTTCGAGATACACATCCACTGAGAAGTACAATGCCATCCAATTGCAGAAAGAAGTGAATGAACTTGAGAGATGAGAGAGGAGTAGAAGAAGAAGAAGAAGTAAGAGAGAAGAAGAAGAAGATGTACACCAGCAACGACAATGACAAGTCTCTTCTTCTTCGCCCAACAATCTCCTCCTCCGTATATCTCCCCCTTCTCTTATTCATACAAGAAATAATAATACAATGTTGAATGACTGGTCCAAAATCATGTCCGAGTCCCTTTTCTACTGCAGGTATCACTCAAGGTCCACCATAGCCATGGCTGCCTCCCCCACTCTTCACATACATAGGCCGAGGCTATGGCGGACTATTAGGCCTTGCTCCGATGTCCAAAGGACAACTCAGAGCAGCTATGGGTGCTCCAGCTGAGGCCGCCATGCCCAGCCCTGCCTTGAAGCTTCTTGGT